CCATATCCCTGGCACTCTTCTGGGGTCTTCTGCATCCAGTTCCTGTGCTGGGCACAAAACACTTTAGTACATGCTTCCATTTAGTGGGAGGTGCTGGGATTTCTCTACCTGGTGGTCATCCCCACCTGCAGGACCCCTTCAGACTCATGGCTATAGCTCAGCACAGCACCAGAATAACTTCGTAGCCTGGGGATACACATCTCCCAGGAGGCACTACCTTTGGAGCATATGTGATCAAACAGTACCTTCCCACTTCCCCTTCCCCAGCTCTCCTTCCCTCCCCATCCATTCTGTCTGTAGAGCATGCTGTCCAATGTATTGTTGCTGGGTTGTTCCATCTGACCTGGTCCCCTGTCTCTCTGATAGCAGTTAGTCCATGTGATGCCTCAGAGGAAGATGAGCTTGCCCCTGTTCCCTAGCAGTAGGGGCATAGCTGACGGTGTGGTGAAAAGTCGCTTCCCATCCTGCCACCTCAGATCAGTTCAGCCCTAATGCTGTGGCTTGAACTTGCCAATGTTGATTTGGAGGGGCTGCTAGCTGCCGTTCTAGATGTCTTAAAACAGCCAGCAGCAGGGCTGACTCTACTTAACCCGTTAACTTAACTCTTACAAAACCCGTTCCTCCCACCTGGACTAAGAGGGGGCAGTGTCAGGCAACATGCTAACATAGCTCTTCCTCATTTGGCCCAGACGATGGGGACTTGGTAGCCAAGGCACTGGCGTGCCAGAAAGCCGAGCACACCTTTGCTGGCATGCCGTGTGGGATCATGGACCAGTTCATCTCTGTGATGGGCAAGGAGGGCCACGCGTTGCTGATAGACTGCAGGTAGGACCAAGCCCATAGTTTGTGGATCCAGCAGTGCCTATGCTCTGAACTGTTCCAGCACCTCTTTTCTGAGGATCTTGGAGGCACTTTCTGAATAGGCTAGAGCCCAAGTCTTCTGCTTCCCAGTCTTGTGAGCGTCCTGCTTCCCCCAAGCAGAACTGCTTCCTCATGCCAGTTATGCAGCTGTGTTAATTGCTAGTACTTGCCTGGCTGGGCAGGCCCTTGCCTGGGGACTGAGGGAGTTCATCTCTACAGCTTTTTCCCCACCAACACTTGCTTTCCATGACCTTTGGGAATGAATCAGCAGTCCTCACTGCCCAGTGCTCCTCAGTCTCTAGGAGTTGATCCATTCAGGCATGAACAGAGATTTGGGGGCACTGCTGGTTTCTGCTCCCTGCAGCAGCTAAGGGAATGATGCACATCTTCTCCAGGAACCCCTGAGAGAGGAACTTTGTAACTACAAGACTCCCCCCAGCAACCCAGCAGTGAGCAAAACTCACCACTAAAGCTGGAAAATTCAGAGTGGGTGTTTATCACTTATTGTGGTAACAGCTCTAAGCACCACAACCAGGCTGGGTCCCTCTATGCTGGGCTCTGTGAAAACACTGGATAAGTGGCAGTCGCTTTTCCAGAAAGGTTAAAAACTTAGATGCAGGAGCCCCACACTGCAGAGGCAGCTCATGTTGGCTGTAAACTCCCGGGTCAAGGGTTGTTCTTGTTCTGTGAGCTGCAGGCCCCACTACAGGACCCACACACGGGCTCATACTGATGCTGCCATATGAATGAGGATGATGCCTCAAATTTGGCACCCAAAAAGGCTTGCAACCAGTTCTGCAGAGACACCAACCCCCTCCCCTGGCTGGGTGGGGCACACAGAAGTTGGACGGTTTTGCAACTGGCTTCATGTCCCTCACTCTCTGCCTAATGTTTATCACTTCTCTATTCTTCTGATGTCTCTGTGCCTCACTTGACCATTTTGTTACAAGTGCTTGTGCTTGTTTATTGTACTGGGTGAAGTCTTTCTTTGTATGTGTGCCTTCAAACAGCGGGCATTGCAACAGGTGTTATATAATCCTGATGCTCTGTGCCACAGTCACAGGTGGCTGAACCAATAGTATAGCTCTACTTTTTCATTAGTTCCTTGGAGCATCTGACTCTGGTATGTACGTGGTTGAGATTTCTCTTGCAGCCCCCCAAAACCAGCCCTGGGGTGGCCATAGCAAAGAACACCTGGCTAGTCAGGATGTGGGAGTAGGAAGGGATCAGGAAATGCCTCTGTGACCTCTCATTCCAGATCACTGGAGACGCAACTGGTGCCATTGACCGACCCTGGCCTGGTTGTTCTCATCACCAACTCTAACGTGCGGCACACACTGACAGGCAGCGAGTACCCCACACGCCGGCGCCAGTGTGAGGAGGCAGCCAGGGCTCTTGGCAAGGCCAGCCTGAGGGAGGCCTGCATGGCTGACTTGGAAGGTGGGGGCAGGCTCAGGCTTAACGTGCAGCGTGCCATCTCCTAGAGGCATGTGCTTGGGGCTGCAGAGGGAGCCAGTTTGATCTCCCCTGGTGCCGGGAGTTGTGCACTACAGGGGCAGGGATCTTGTTTCACATTTGAAGTGCAATCCACATCGAGGCACCTGGGTTGCCGGTGGGTGACACTGGGAGGCTCCAGCAGCTTCTCAGCCAGGTCTTGTCTCTCCAGCTGCGAAGGCCCTGCTGAACGAGGAGGTGTACAGGCGAGCAAGGCATGTCATTGGGGAAATCGAGCGCACTGCCCAGGCCGCCCGTGTGCTGCAAGCCAGGGACTACAGCACGTTTGGGAGGCTGATGGTGGAGAGTCACAACTCTCTCAGGTAGGGCCATGACTGGTTGCACCAGGCAGTCGCACTCCTGTCCAGGCAGAGGGTGCTTGGCAGGGCTTGAGGATGAGGAGCTGCAGGAGCTTAAACCTCAGAGCGCCATGTCCATAGCAGTTCCCTGTCCAATTGGTGCTGTGGCTTGGTGTGCCTGATGGCAACAGCTTATGATGGGAAGGCACAGGCTTCATGGATCAGCAGCCCAGAGGAATTCCCCAGAAGCACTTGTTGCTTTGGTATCAGAGAATCCTAGACAAGTCAGGCTGGAAGGAACCTCCCGAGCTCATTTAGTCCTAAGGCAGGATCATCCCTATCCAAAACATCCTATATAAATTCTTCAAAAAAACTCCTGTAAACCCTGATGCAGTGCAAGACATAACACCTGAACCTGCCACAGATAAAGCAGGGGAACCACAGCAGCCAAAGTCTTGCTCCTATAAAAAGATTGTTAATATATGCTCAAAATCCCTAGTAGAAGGCCATGCCCCCTTCTACAGAGGAAGGCAAACCCCTTCAGCCAGGAACCTCTGGCTTTAGTCCCAGCGAGAGCAGTGGCACAGTCCAGTCCAAGTCCCCAGCCTTGGCCTTGGCCTCTGAGGAAAGCGTTAAAATCACCCTGATGCGTGCGTCGGAAAGGGGGAGTGGGCAACCAGCAAAGCCCAGAAACCTGGGAAATACCTGTAGTAGAACATAGGCATAGCTATGCTCAGATCATCTCTGACTAGTGGCTGTCCAACCTCTTCTTGAACACCTCCAGTGATGGAGAGTCCACAACTTCCATAGGCAGTCTGCTCGTATCACCAGTCTGCACCAGTAGGAAGTTGGTGCCTGATGACAGTTACTCAGTAGCGTCCCATTAGAGAGAACTCCAAGGCCAGCTCTGGCAGGGGGGCTGTACCCTCTCCATTTAGACTAGTGATTCTAGGGCTAGGCCTGCATTGTACATTTGCAATGTTACTTGAGTTGGATCCTTGGAGGACTCTGGTTCATCTTGCCCTGTAGCTGGTTGCCAAAGTAATGGGCATGTTTGCATAGTCACTCCCTAGAACAGTTGGCTCTGCCAGCCTGCGTGACTGGATCTGATTTCCCAGGGATGACTACGAGGTCAGCTGCCCAGAGCTGGATGAGCTTGTCGCTGCAGCGATGGAGGTCAGCGGGGTTTATGGCAGCAGGATGACGGGTGGCGGCTTTGGAGGCTGCACAGTCACTCTGCTGGAGGCAGGAGCCGCGGAGAAAGCTGTGCAGCACATCAAGGTATGTTGCAGCTGCCTGGCTTTTCCATGATAGAGGCCTCTCTTCTGGCCCATCCTCCTCTTGCTGCATGGACCCAAATGCATCAGCAAGAGTGAAGAATGCTCATCCTACACCCACCTCTCTTGGGCATAAAGGATGAGGCAAGGAGGGTTGAGCCCAGGGCTGGACAACTGGAAGAGGTTGCTCCCACCCACTCCTAGCCTTCCAATCGGAGCTGTGTATGGGGACAGTGATAAGAGTGGAGTCATCACAAAGGACCCTAGGAGTGTGAAAACACAAAGCACCACAGAGGGTGAGCTTTCTTCCTGACAGGCTTGGACCTTTGGGCCCTAGGGCATGCCATTTCAGTGTTGCCCATCTTGGTCACCACCTCTACAGTGGTGTATGTGAAATAGCCGGGGGTTTTGGATCAGTACTGCTCAGTGCAGCAGCATCTGTCATGAGTGTGTTCAGCTGGTGTAGCCCATGGCTGTAGCCCGTAGATTCTGATCATCCTTAACTCCCCTTTTGTCTCCTAGGAAAAATACAGTGGCAGAGCAACCTTCTATTTTACAAAACCTTCAGCTGGGGCCAAGGTACAGCGTCTGTAGAAGAACAACTTCCGCAGGAGGGATCCCTTTCTCTGATGGGATTAATGAGCATCTGGTCCTCAATGTGCCAGCTCTTCTTCCTTTCCCTCCTTGAAGAGATCCAGTGAAACTTCTTTACTACCTCATGAAACAAAGGGGAATGTACAGAGGTGCATTGCTCGGGCAATAAAATTATATTTTGCACAACAATCCTGTTGCCTGTCTAACCCAGTAAAGTTCTGAGCTTTGTTACTCTAATGTAAATAGGACATATATGTGAGGGAAGGAAATCTAGATCTTTGCTCAGTTATATTGTTCTCAGGCAGCCTATGCAAATGTAATGCTAAAGGCAATATCTGAGTGCCCTATGCCAGTATGTCTGAGAGGAGGGGTTGTGATTATGCTCTGAGCCCATATGCTCTTGCCCCTGTAATGTACCCTTGGCAAGTGGCACAGGTGCCAGTCTTCACCAGTTGCTTTAAATAAAAGACAGCCAAACTAGAGAAATGTTTATTAAGTGCAATACAAAGCCATCTGGTCCAGAACACCTGCCGTCAGACTTGCCTTGGAGAGAGCTGAATTCAGCTGTATTCTGCACTTGTGTTCTAGCCTGGCATGCCTGGTAGAAGAGGCATACAACCCAGTTTTTAGGGCAAGAATGCCAGGATCAGGACCAGCCAACATGCTGCATTCTGCTCCAGACAGTGTAACAAGCTCTTTGGTTAAAACTGCTATTGGGGTTCCCTCTCGAGGTTGTGAATCAAGGTGTAAGGGACATCTGCAGTACAGAACACAGAAAAAGGACTAGCATTCAGTTGGAGAAGAACCATGTCAACTGAAACTTTCTTACCACTATCCGTGCAGGTAAAATAACCCCAGTTATAAAGAACCATGGAAAACAGGAACTGAAAATTAAGGCAGATGACAACTGGGTGTTTGCTTGGAAACTTTCTTTCCAAACACACCCAGGTAGCTTGTTTGGAAGTAGAAAACCATGTCTGGTTTAACCTCTACCAGACTGGGCTTCTTGTGTTTTAAATCACAACCTGAAGTAGACCCAACTTCCACCAAAGCTGTAGGGTTGTGCAGGACAATGTGAATGTACATCTCAATCAGGTGCATGGATCTCATTCATACTAAAAATTAATGGACAAATTCCCATTGAAATCAGGAGGACAGAACTGAGCTCTAAAAGTGGCTAGTATTTATAAACTACTCTGGTGCAAAGAAGTGTTTAAGGAGTTCCATAGATAAGCCCCCCTCCCCCAAGAGCTGCCCCTGGGGCCTAAAGAGAGTTTATGCTTTGGTTGCAGGGGTTTGGCTTAGGAAGGCACAAGTTCCAGCCCAATGCTGCTCTAGTAGAGAGTAAGGGGTTGAGCCAACTCAAGCCATTCCACAGCCCATCTCACTAGAAGACTCCAGTCTTTTACAACGCTGTGTCCTCTTGTCACCACTTGACGGAGGGCACCACCAGGCTGAGCCTCTTGCCCAAGTCAGGGAAGGAATCAGTAGCACAGCCAGGGACAGAACCCAGGAACTGGCTTACTCTCTCCAGTGCAGAGCTCGCCCCATCAGACCATGGCTGCCTCCTGCTCTTGCACAGCCAGTTAACCTCACGTGCTGACTCATAGAGGTTTGGGGGAAGATTTTCAAAAGCACAAACAGAGGGAATTGAGTTCCTGACTTCTGTCCTTGGTGCCTTTGAAAATCTCCACCTTACGCACTTAGTACAAGGTCCCTAGTATGTGTCATCATCATCCCAATTCAGAAGTGTGAATGCTGAGCTCAGTGTGTTGCTGTCAACTGGGTTAAAGCGGAGAGTACAAGCCCTATCGTTAAGTACCATGCCTTCCGGCCAGAACTACTATTCCAGGACTCCAACAGAAAGAGCTACACCTTAAGAGGAGGTATAAAGACCATGTGGTGACAACTAGCAAAGCACCCCTGGAGGATGCTCAGAGATGCAGCTGCCCCCAGCATTTGATAGCAGTTAGCATAATTGACCTAGTACACAGGGCTGTATCCTGGCCACCAAGCTCTGGCCAGGCACAGATAAAGTCTGGGAACGGTTGGTCCACAGAAAGAAACTGGCTGAGACAGACAAATGCGTCAACTTGAACAGGAAAGAGACTCCAGTCCCAAAATGGGGATAGACTAAGGGAAGGAAGCTAACAGCTCGCTCTCTCTTCCGTCACCTTGTGCTTCCTGGTTGATAATGGAATCTTATATTCCACAGAGGGCATTTCTGTGGGGTACAAATGCCTTTTGAAAGTCGCACCCTACCTGGGCTAAGCTCCACTTGTGAACGATGGAATCAACAGGGAATCCTGGTATTGGGTTTGCAGCAAAAACATTACTGCTGTTGTCTCCTTTGAGAGCATGCCATGGGACCTGAAGCACTAATCTTCCCTTCCCAGCTGCTCCTGGCTTTTACCCACAGTACACTGGAGCTACACTAAGACTGCTGTTTCTTGCTATGCAGCGTGTAAACACATCTGACTGAGATGCTCCAAGAAGTTGGGCCCCTGTATCATAGGAGTCAGTGCTGAGGGATGTAGGGACTGATCTAAAGCTCACTTAAATCACTGGGAGGCTTTCCATTGGGTTTAATGGCCTCTGGGAGGCTTTCCATCGGGTTTAATGGCCTCTGGATTGGTCCTTTAACTTATCTGCTGAACTTGCTAATGACTTCCAAAAGCCAGAGTCCTCTTCTGTCCTTATTGTTCAGTGTAGATCTCATCTACCTAGGTTTCTTTATAAAATAATAAAATACATTTATAAATATATATACTAGGAAAACTGTACAATAGTGTAAGCAACACTGCATTAGAGCATTGCAGGTAATGCTATGCAACTCAAGGCTATAATTTGTTATTGCAGTACCGCACATTAGCAGCAAGGGGCTTTACAAAAACACACGTGGTGGGAACGAGTAGGTTACCCTCACCTTCTACCTGGCAACACACACTTATAACAGAACAGAACTTTAAACATTTCTGGACGATCATGAAGTTGTCTTCTAGGGGAGTTGTTTCCTGGGGGTGAAATTAATAGATGAAGCAGTTGGAAAGGTGAGGAAGTTAAAAGTGATGTGCAGGGTACAGCGAATGTGGACGTTTCAATGCAAACCAAAACCCAGTGCAGCCAAACTTCCAGGAACATCAGAGCTTGTAGGTAACATGCACCCAAAGACCTATATCAGCAGGCAAGGATTATATATTGAACTCCAAAATGGCTGGGCAATGGCCCAGCACTGAGAAGTCACCAATGTCAAAATCCTCAGTAAAGACCCAAGGCCACCCAGGAGAGCTCTGAATGGGCATCAAGACCCCTGCCAACCCAACTGCTAACTGTGCCGTGCCCTTGACCGTGGCAAGCTGCAAAAGAAAGACTGGCTTGACAAGTGCCACGGTAGTTTTATGCCAGGAGAGATGTGGCAGGCTCTCTGGCACAGTCAGGAAGCTGACCAAACAATAGGTCTGTTTGAAAAGTTCTGCAGTCTGAATGGAGACATCCTTTCAGCAGCCTCTCCCCAGCTCAGGCTTCATAGAACTGCCTCTCCGTCTGTTTGGTGAGCATGCCACTGGACATCATGGTCCTGCTGACGAACTCTTTGGTGACCTGCTCGGTGAGGGTGCTGCTGTTGCTCTCTACCCGCTGGGAGGTCATCAGCATGCCATCTGCAACAAGAGGAGCAGGTCAGCAGTTGGTAGGATAGCCATCAGGGAGGTGGGTTTGGTCCCAGATATATTGTGTCAGACTTATGTATGTAGCTGCAGGGTGCATCATGGCTTTAGCTCACGAGTTCTTTCCCTGACTTGTTACACAGGTAATGCCAGTCCCTGTTCTGCATACAGGAAATGCAATCACGGACCGTTTCAGGCCAGCATCCACACAACACCTCTGGGAAGGGGAGGTAGAGCAGGAACTGCTGAGCACTACAGGGCCTCAGTGAGGATGAAGGTTTGTGGGTTTAATTCTGACTCTCAACTCACTCCTAAGATATGGTTGCAGGGCAGGAAGGGGGAACTGAGATAAAAATCCTTAAAATCCTCACCTCCTCTTTTTATCCCATTTGATGTTTGCCCACAGAACTGACCAGCTTTGAAGAACCCTCCAAGAGACTTCCCATCCCCCCCTGAGGGGAGGCTGTGAAGTGCGCAGAGATAGCCCAACAAGACCTGGATATCCAGAGTTGCGCTGTAGGCCTTCACTACCTCAGCTTCTCTCCTGGCCACTGGGCCACACCAATGAATGTGACTGTCTTCTAAGCTGGTCTTTAGTGACCAAGGTGTTGCAGAGAGAAAGCCCTTACCTGCAAAATGCGGATCCAGAGAGGAGTGGGTGAGGCTGGTTTTAGTGCTGTATTCAGTGGGGAAGTTGTACACTTCTTCTCTCATGTACTGTTGCCCTCCAAACTGTGAGAAGGCTCCTGAAAAGAAGCATAGAAAAGTCAACTTTGTGAAGACCGAGGGAACTGGAAGATCACTGCTGAGCCTCTCGTAACTCAACCCTGGACGATAAATATCAACAGTTCTTCTTTCTATGCCAGTCTTGTCCAACATTAGAGCAAAAGACAGAAGGTTGTGTTGTAACTGGTCCATTGGAAACCATTAAAGAATGAATGAAGAAGACTCATAAGAAAGAAGAGGGCTAAGGACTGCATGAGGTGGTTCCCCAGCCTTTTGAGTATTATCTGGTCATGCAAAGAAGAAGGCTGGTATTAAACAGCAGCACTAAGTTCTCACATTCTTTCCCCATATTGAGGAAAGAATATACCACCCCTGAGGCATATATGTAACATTACCCTAATTTTTACAGATGGCAACTCTACAGCAGAAGATATTTAGTGAGTTGCCAGGAGACCTAAAAGGAATGCTTAGGTCTTGTCCTGAAGTTTCCTGCTCTCACCATTTTTTCCTACTGTTACACCAAAAAAGTGGTACCCAGAAAGGAGCAGAAGATAGTGATATTTGTATCATCCAGAATTCAAGGGAAAAAAGGTGGAGGTGAATTATTATGTAGAAAGGAAGAAAAGCTTAATGTCTATGGAAACATAAAGGAAATGTTGGAGACTGAAAAGAACAGCACACAAAACTCCTGTGGACATGGATGCGAGTTAAGGGAGCACTATTGATAAAAGATGAATATCCAACTTTTATCAATAGTGCTCCCTTAACTCGCATCCATGTCCACAGGAGTTTTGTGTGCTGTTCTTTTCAGTCTGCTGTATATGCTATACCGGCATATTAGCTTTAAATGACAAATCTGTTATTTGATACATTGGATTAACAAATAAAGTTTAAAAAAAGGAAAAAAAAGAAAGCAGTACCTCCATCTTGAGACTCAATGGTGATGATACCCTCTCTCTCTGGTCCAAAGCCTTGCGTGGTCTTAGCTTGCACTTTGAACTTGTATGGGACATTCTCAGTCAGGTAGGGCACTGTCAGGGTGGTTTCTGGGTTGTCCCCCTCCACATAAATGTTCCTGGGTTCTCCTAATCCAGACAGACACACAACAGGTGAGGAGCCTGAGACAGACCCATTCCCATCCACTTTTGCTTGCTTTGCTTCTACTCATCTACTCCAATACCCAGCAGGCTTCCACCATCTTCTTCTCTGCCTGCTTTATTCCATTCTCAACCGGCACCCTGCCCTTCATTACCAACCCAGCTGCTCTGTTAGAAGAACCACATTTCAATGACCCCTCAGGGTCTCATTCACATCCCACCCAACAGGGCTACTGATGGGCCTAACCCAGAGCAGGAGGCTCCAATCCTGGAGCAGGTTTAGAACATAAAAACTGCCATTTACTGGGTCAGCCCACAGGCCCATGTTGCCCAGTGTCCTGTGTCATGCAGTGGCAGAGAGTGGATGCTGAAAGGGAGAGTGAACAGAGAATAACCAGGGATTTTTCCACTGTTCCTCTCCTCCTTACAGCCTCCAGCATTTAAGGTCTAGGAAGTTCTGATTCAGAGGCTGTACCCCTAGCTCCCATGCTCAATAGCTGCTGATGCCCCTTTCCTCCAAGAATGTGTCCAATCCCTTTCTGAATCTGGCAAAACTGTCAGCTTCCACAACAGTTTGTGGCAATGAGCTCCATTCTTAAATTACATGCTGTGTGGAAAAAAAAGGTTTGCAGCTCTGGTCTGCTTCTCTCCAGTCCCAGCACAAAGACAGCAATTTGTCGTTTCATTTATGGTTTGTTTCTCCCTGCACAGAGATCTGGGATCACCCCAGAGCAGCAACATACCTCCCCCATGCAGCATCTCGCAGGTGACCATGTAGCCCAGAATTGCCCCGTTGGGTTTGCGGGGTCGCTCCCAGCTGAGCTGGAGGGAGTCTGGGCTCAGGGCAGTAAACACCAGGGGGCCTGGAGCACTGGGTGTGCTCAGTGTGAATGGTGAACCTGCGAATGCAAGAGCAAGATATTAGTATTGGACAGCAGAGACGTGGACCGGGTCATTCAAACCATGAGTTAGGAAGTCTCCACTGTCTGCCAGGATAGTTCGGCAGCTGGGGCATTGGGAAGCTGCACTTAGGGAGGAGGGAGCAGCAACCAGGAGTTCACAGAGCCCAGACTTCTCCACGGGGGTTTGGGTTTTGGAGCAGGGTGTGACCATGGAGAACACAGCTCTCAGGCCAGGTCCTGAAAGTTCACTGCATGGCAACAGATAGGCCAAATTGGGCAAAACCAGTGCTGTTCCCCCTCACCTGGCACCGGGCTCAGCGGGCTCTGTGGATCCACTTGGGACTCAATAGTGATGACGCCTTCTCTGTCTGGGCCCCAGCCCTCCTCACTCTGGGCCCTCACCTTGAAGATGTAGGATTGGTTGGGCAGCAGGTCCTCCACCACCACTGAGTTTTGGCTGGGGTGGGGGATGGTGAGTCTGTATACTTCTCCTGAGGGAAACAAGCAATAGGTCACAAAGGCAAGACTGCAGCTTTCACTGGGGAACAGCACACTACCCACGTCACATGAAGGTGTGTGCACCAGTTGAGCTGGGTAGAGCAAGGAGGCTTCGTCAACCCCCCCATCACAAGGCTTGGCATCATGCCTCCAGCAGCGGTCTAGACCTCAAGCTGACTTTACGAGGCACGTAGCCTGGAATAACACTGTGCTGTGTGCGCATCTCTGGGAGAAGTCTTCCTCGATCCTGACTGCCTGACCTGTGGACATGACCCCTCCTTTCCTCACTATGGATGGTCAGATTATCCTACCCCATTTAAAATCCAGCTGTAGCACTGATCTGTGGGTTGCAGGGCAAAGACAGAGCAGCTGGAAGTCTGCTGTGGAGAGTGTTGGTCCAGTTGCTGTACCTACCCCACCCCTGCCATTTCAAGTCTGTGGTTGCTGCTAAACAGGCCCTTCCCTCATCTCCTGAGGGAACCCCCAAAGATCCTATGGTTGGAGCTAGAAGTTCATGACTAAACTCTGACTATAACTAGCAGCATGGGAAAAGAACCTGATTTATCAACACCTTCCACCTACACAGCCCAGGGCATGTTGCAGGTATCAATGATCGTCTCCATCTCACAGAGGGGAAACTCAGGCACGCTGCAGTTAAGAGATTTGCGGGGGCCACATGGCATATCTGTGGCAGAGCCGAGATTAGACTCTAGGGATTCTGGTCCCATTAAAATCAGTGGCACAAGTCCCATTGGCTTCAGAGGCACTAGGATCTCTCAAGCCCTTTGCTTGAACATTTTGCTTGCACTGAGCTCCTGCTCCCATTACTGCCCCCTGCCAAGCCACCAGCTGAATAGGGCTCACTGACCTCCATTGAGGAGTTGGTACTGCACGCTGTATCCCTGCACCTCCTTCTCGCACTGCGGCTCCTGCCAGCTGACTTTCAGAGAGGTGGGTCCCAGCGCCGAGAACACCAGGCGGGTGGGTGTGTCGGGGATGCCTGGGGTCACCCTGGAATCTGATGCAGGGGGGGAAAGTCACAACCTTGGATTCACAGGCAAGGGGATGGAGGGGGAAAGAAACAGACATGCAGGAGAGCGGGATGGTCCTGATGAGTCCAGGGAGAATGTGGCAAAATGTCCTCTCCACAATCACTGAGGGGAACCTAAGCAGAGGGGCCAAGACCTGGGCTAGCTAGGTCTGAACACCTGTACGAGCCAACGCTGACTCCAATGCACGGCAGCCTCTGGGCTCAGAGCAGCCACACCCTGACTTAGCCAAGGCAGCAAGGGGAATGCTGAAAGCCTCTAGCCACTTCTCTAGCCAGATCTCCACCTCTCGGTGCGAGGTGCTGGGCATGGCCAAACTCACTCACCCTGAAGCACCCTGTCCAGGCTGCTCAGTGCTTCGTGGACATCTTCGGAGTGAGTGCGACTCCTGGCCTTCTGGGGGAGGGGGTAGTGCACCCTAAGGGGAGCGTTTTGCCCTGACAGGCCTATACAGAGAAAGAGAGGGGAGGAGGTGGGGGTCAGACTAGACATCTGTGTTGGGCTTTGCTGCTGGTGGGTGGGAAGGCCTCAGAGACAGGGGCATGGTATCAACTGATGGGTATCGCACAGAATGAGCTGTCCCTACCCATTCATATGCTGTTCACCCACTAGCCATCTCCCTAACCTTTACAGAGATGTATTTGGTAGCTGGTTGGTCTGAGACAAAAAGAAATGCACAACTCTAGAACTCTTGGTTCAGAGATGATACCTTTTATTAGACCAACTAAGAAATTGCAAAAAAAATAGAAAAAGAAAAATATATATTTTTTGTGATTTCTTAGTTGGTCTAACAAAAGGTATCGTCTCTGAACCAAGAGTTCTAGATTTCTGCATGTCTAACCTCTACACATTCTTCTCCCTGGCCGCTACTTTAGTCTCCAGTTAACAATGACCTACCCACATCCTTCCCCATTTTCAAGGGTAGCAAACCTCCCACTTTCTACCAGGAGTCAGCTTTAACTGCCCTCAGTGCTTACACATCAGGGTGCTTTGCAGTCACTGGCCCCAGAAATGAATTCATTTCCCTGGCACAACTGGTAGGTAGGCAGGGGAGTATGACTATCCCTGTTCTACAGAGGGGGAGGCAGGGATATGCCTGGGTCACACAACAAGGGAGACTGGGAACCCAGGAGCTCTTGGCTCCCAGCCCCATGCTCAGTCCATTGGACACTGCTTCCTTTGCAAACAGCACCTTCAGAGCCAGGAAAGGCTGACAGGGCTATGAGGCACCACTGCCCTCATGACAGTATAAAGACCTCACACTGGTGAGCAGCCCCTACATGCCTGCAGGTGAGCTAGGCTGGTGTATTTCAGAAGGACATTTTGCACACATTCTCCCTGATGGTCCTGCAAGGCCTGTGGAGAGAGACACAGAATGGGTTGGCTTGTTAGGAGCCAGGACTTCGGTGGGTGTTGCTGGTGAGTTGAAAAGATCGTTATGAGCGGGGCAAGGGGTGGGGAGGGGAGGGTTTGTGGAGCAGGTTAATCAGCTCAAGTGGGTTTAACAAGATCAGTGGAACCTGCTAATGGAAAGGCAGCGTGAAGGAGGGACAGCCAGGGTCAGGAGGATCAGCGCACATGTAAAAGCTGTGGGGGAGACTGCAGCAGACAACTGGCAGGTGGATGAGCTGGTTAAGGGATGCATGACTGAAGGGAGATGCCCACGAAGACACTGGACAATGCTTTGCTGTTTGAGGTACCTATATACTTGCAAATCCCAGTGGACCCATCAGTCATGATTATAGAGTCCCGAAAGCCAGTGCTGGGGTAGTAACCCTTCACCTTTGCCCTGCTCCTGAAACCTACATCCCGCGGCAGCAAGACCATCCTCCCAGCATCTTCACGTATGGGAGGGAGATTCCTCCCTGGATGGTCTGCAGGATAGCGTGAAACAGAGAGAAAGAGAGAAACACCATTGGAACCATCCAAAGCCAGTGCAGCCCACATGTTGGGGCCTCTGCACAGAGAGGGCTCATGAGGAAAGATGCTAGACAGCCTTAAAGAGCCTTTCTCAGCCCTCTCCTCATGGCTAGGTGGACTCACACACTGGGAGCAGGAGGAATTCACAGGGAGATAGTGTAAAAGGCCTGGTGCTGCCCTGGGGATCAGGTGTTAGATGCATTCCCCCTTCCCAGCATGCTGCGGGGGTTGGCAGGGTGGATGCAGCCCTCTTTCCAGGGTGCACTGGGAGCCAGAGGTGTGTATGTGGCTTCTGTCTAAGGATGCTCTAGGAATCAGAGGAGTGAATGCCTCTTCCTCCCAGTTCCCTCAGAGTGGGCCAGAAGGAGCTCTGTGCCCCTGCCTGCTGGGTGCCCAAGAGAGCTCTGAAAGTGGAAGAGAGGGAGAAGCCACAGTGAACTCAGCACTCACCATGTCCTGACACCAGCGTGTTGTAGTCTCTGGTCAGTGTCGAGCTCCCCATCACCCTCCTTTCCTGCTGCATGTGCGAGCTCAGCTGGCTGTAGTTGCCAGTGACCATCCGGGTCAGGGTGCCCCCACTGCCAGGGAAGTTGAAATCCATCCGGCCATTCACCAGGTGCTCTGCAAAAGATTGAAAGCCATCAGTGCCAGCAAATGCTGTGTGGGCAGCTGCCCCTATCAGTTTCCAGGAGGCCCTGATGGGTACTCAGCATCCAACTGTGTCCAGTTCTCCAGCTGCTCTAGAACATGGCTTGAGGTCTTCAGATCCAGAACAAGGGACAACTACACAACTCGGAGGAAGTGACAAACAGGTAGACATTGTTTTCCCCACACAACATCAGTTACACCTGCAGTGTCCAAGGTAACTCCAGAGCTCAGCCTTGGGACGTGGCTAAAGTCCCACCGTGTAGTTCCCATTTAGTCCTAAATCACATCTGTTGTTTGACACAAGCACATGTTTATATTCAGTGTTAATTAAAGAACAACCACAAGAAATGTTTTTTGGAAGGAGGTGGCTCCTACAGTTTCCACACCAGAGACCATCTCAGCTGGACCTAAAAAGGAAATGTCATTTAAGTGACCATCCAAAGAAGCAGCAGAAACCAGCTACCTACTAGAGTTGGTCTCTGGCTAACAGTCCAGCAGGTTTGCACTAGGAACTTAGGGATACTTCAGAGCTGTCATTAAAGATGAGGCGCAGCCTCTTGGAAGTGATGGTTATTACTAGGTATTGAATGGTTTCTATTTGTTCCTCTCCAAGAATCCAAGCCTACAGCAGCAGCGAGCTTCTAGCAGTCTGTGCCCAAGGTGGGGGTTACCTTGGCACTTCTCATGAGCAGACAAGACCACGACACCGTTTTGCAAGCAGACTCTATGACACCTGACCACAGCATGACGCCGACACCAGTACGGGCACACAGGGGATGTTAGGGGGCACAACCCAGTGCTGTGCCCTTAGCTCGGAGAAGGACGAGACACTACATTCACTGCAGAGGGGGCCGTCCTTCACCTGCTTGGGGCCGGGGTGTCCCACTCCTTGTCAGGCTGCCGCTGGCCGTGTTGGTGTCCGACAGCTCTGAGGGGGTACTGTCCTCACGGAGGAGACCCTCGGTGTCTGAGGAGAAGCAGCTGCTGCCGGAGAGGCGGGGGATCATTTCAGCTGGGAGCTTCCAGGTGATGTGGCGAAGATCCAAGTCCTCCCCCAGCAGCTGCACATATTTCCACCTGGACCCTTTTGGAACAATTTAAGCACTTGTGTTGGCAGGGTCTGGGGGGCAAAGTGAGCAACCCACCACCTTCTGGCTGCTTGTGGCACTCCAGCACAGTTGCCTACAGCAAAAAGCATCTACCAAGATGATACCCGTGAGCAGCCCATCCATGAAGAAAACTCTCATACTGCTGGGCGATAGGCTACTGCAAAGACTGTGGTTGGTGATGAGACTGGAGAATGGATGGAACATGCCATGACAGATGCTCCAGTGAGTGGGAGACCAGAGCTCCAACCCTGTGTCCATCATGACAGAGAAGGAGCCTTGCTGCCCCTCTGCATGCCTGTGCCTATTGCCAGCACTGCCCATTCAGTTGGTACAGTCATCCTCCTCTGCTCAGGAGAGGCTTCCGCATAAACTGCTCTTTGCAGAAAATGCAGCAGGACCTACCAGAGTCATCAGAGACACTGGGACGCTTGCTGCCTGCTGGGGAGCGCAGCATGTCGGTGCTGTACATCAGGTAGCTGTCGTAGTCCTCACCTCCCTCAGCATCGATGATTGGCACATCAGGGATGATGGGAACTGCAAGGGGGAGGCAGAATGCTGTCAGACATGCTATTTGGGGGGAAGCTGACATCAAGCCAGAGGGAAAGCAAGACCCTTCAAGCACCCAGATGCCACAGTGACAGACACATCTGCAAGGACACTGGACACAAAGGAGGGAAGAAAAGAGGGAGGAGACAGAGTTTTCAAGTAAAGTGACTCACTGGACAACGGGCGCTTAGGCTGTGTGGCAAGGTTGATTGTAGCCTCTCTCTCAGGCCCCCAGCCAGCCCTGTTCTTGGCCTTCACCATGTAGCGGTATGGATGGGACTCCCGAAGGTTTTCGATCAGAACCATGCGCTTCTTTGGGTCCTCAACCAGCACTTTCTTCATTGGCCCGATGGGTACTGCAAACAAGTACACACCCCAGTGAGCTCCTTATACATGCAGACATACACACATCCGAGATCATCACATGCCACAAGATCACCACATACACATAGGCAGGCATACATCCCATGAAGTCCATCACACACATGCACACACAGGTGCTCACACACACATGTGTGTGCACACATACTCATACTCCCTTCCTTCCATTTCTTCTCTCTCATCCTCCTTCCATTTGACTGTATTGGGCAACTTTGCTCTTCTGTTTGAAAGAGCTGGTGGCAAGCAGTTAAGGAGCCAACAGGCCTGGGTTTCTGATCCACCTCACATGGTAGTGAATGGTGCTTTTCCTAGTTCATCAGCTTGGCCTGTAATGCTTTTAACACTCCCGTGGAACTGGCATAGAGGAGAGCAGCTTCAAAGGGGCTCAGGACAAAGCTACAGTCCCTTTGGGCTAATATCCCTGAGGACTCTCACACCATCACCAAAACATGGATTCTACCTTCCATTTAACTCTAAGAAATGAACTTGGGGTTCGGGAGAACCAAACTATGGGACAATCAAACTTCACTGCTGTCTTTTAAGTTGTCCTGGGATCTAACTACCTCAGGGAAGTTCCCAAAGTGGGCACTGAAGTGAGCCTACAGCAAGGGTTCCCTGTCCCTAGGCTACTGTCAATAGAAATCCAACTTTCTAGGACTGCTATGCTGGGCACTGAACCCTGCATTAGAACCAATGAGGTATTAAGCACCTCTGGCAAGTGCTGATGTGAGATGAAATAAATGGGAAATGAGGGCGCTCAGGACTCACAGGACCAGGCCCTTACTGCCCAACTCCTCTGCTGGACTGTGGTGTCCCAACACTTCACAGCCCACCTGTGCCTCTCACTCACCCCAGGACATGGACCCTTCCAAACCCCAGCTCTGGGTCTGCCAGAACGGGTTGGCTTCGTTGCTGCTCAGAAGGTACCCAATGAAATGGTAGGGGAAGGCACTGGGTATTTCAGCTGAGGGCTCAGAGTTTGTAGATCTGCCTCTACTCAGGAAATGAGCCATGTCTTACCGTTGTCCTCGTTGACGAGTCCATAGCTGACTTCATAAGCCGTGATCTCCCCACCAGTCTCTGCAGGCTCAGCCCAGCTCAGCTGCGTCACCGTAGAAGAGACGACGTTGAAAGCCAGGCGTCCAGGCTCACTGGGCACTAAGGGGAACAATAAAGCAGGAAACCAGGTTACAAGCAAGCTGGAGAGGGCTGGGTAGCTCTGGGCAGTGTGGAAGGGGCAGGGCTAATGGCAGGGAGGCTTGGCTGGTCTGAGTTGGGGAGATTTCTTCAATCACTGTCTCACTGGAATAGCCCAAGAAATCTGAAGGCAGTTAGCACCAGATCTGGGAGTGCACAGGCATTTTCGAAGTGCCACCAAGATGTGTCATGGTGGGGTCCACAAAGTAGCTTTCTCCCCTCTCTCAGCTTAGTTCCATTCCTATTCCTAGAAACATAAAAAATGGGGGTTGGGAGGGACCTTAGCAGGTCATCTAGTCCAACTCCCTGCTCAGAACAGGACTATCCCCAACTAGATCATCCCAGCCAAAGCTTTGTCTAGCTGAGTCTTAAAAATCTCCACAGTCGGAGATTCCACAACTTCTCTGGGGAGTTTGTTCCAGTGTTTAACTACCCTCCTAGTCAGAAAGTGTTTCCAAATATCTCACGTAAACTTCCCTTGCTACAACTTGAGATCATAGCTCCTTGTTCTGTCATCTGCCACCACTGAAAACTGTCTAGCTCCATCCTCTTTGGAACTGTCTAGCTCCATCCTCCATCACCTTTTCTCTATTCCTTCCTCCCACCCCCAGAATAGGGCTTTTTGTTGGAAGCGGAAGTCTTCCTGGCTATAAGTTGGAGATGAGGGCAGAAGAGGTGTCACTTGGGCCCCATGTAGTGCAACCTTCTGCCTCATTCCTTCAACCTTCCTAAGCTGCTCTGCCAGGGAGGGGTCATCAACCATCTCCCTTGAGGATCTCTTCCACTGCCCCTATGGAATTGCAGTAGATACTGCTCCAAAGCACATTAATGAAGAGGTTCTATACAAAGCAAGAGCTGGTGCAGTCAGTCAGTGTGTCCCTCATCAATGTCATTGGGCCATGGGGGTTTTGTGATTGGTATTTAGGGTTTTGTTAGTTTGGAGCCTTCTGGATTTCTTTTGTAAAATAGCTGCTGCTGTCAATGACTGACTGGTGCAGTCTGGGTGAGCTGCTCAGCCCAGTACCCTAAGACCTAAGTACTCTTCAGCGTATGAGGATCTGGGCCTCTTCGACCTGCCACCTTTTGTTACAGATTCACATAACACACTTCTTTATTTTTAACTTATGCAGCCTCAGAAACCCTGTGGAAGAGGCCCCAGGTCCTCAGACTCTCCAGTGGTGAACATGAGACAGAAACCTGGCAAGGCACTTGGGAGGACAGTGTTTAGCCCCAAGGAAACTCAGACCTATCAACTTTCCATCTGGGGACACAGAGGTGAAGGCCACAGGGAACATCAGTTCCCGAGTTGAAAGCAGAGTTCAGGACTTCCTGGCTTCCCTTTCTGTGAACAAACCATTAGACTAGGCCCCATAAAAGATCACACTATCCTGACTGCACTTCCAAAAGCATTCAGACATCAGATGCCACTGGATCTCGTAAATGTTGCACCACACCATGGGAACAAGATGCAGGAGGAATAGGCAGCTCACCTTCTTCCAGCGTGCGGCAATGGACAATATTGGAGTAGGGGCCCTGGCCCATGCTGTTGTAGGCAGAGACCTGCATCTCATAGTCGCAGAAAGGGTACAGGTTACTCAGCTCTGTTGATGGGACCTTGGAATCGATCAGCCGGGCTTCCGACTCAGGGTCCCCTTGGATCCAGTACTTCACCTGCCATCAGAGAGAAAACCTGAAGTCCCTCCTCATTCTTTCAGATCCTTCTCCTAGCCATCATTCACAAACTTAATGGAACTTACTGCCTCCTCCCTCAATACAGAGAGGTTTTGGACCATCCAGGGTTTGGGGCATAGAAACTGCAGGGGGGAAATCCATCTCTGTGCTCAGAGGAAGTCTGTGATCAATCCATGCCCTGTTTTGGGGGCTGAAGTTACACACATCACAGACTTTCTGCTCACCTACTGTAGCAGAGTGGGGACTCCATACTATATGCAACACTGACTACCTATTCCATCCCCCCAGCCAGAGCAGGAGTACATTTTCTGGAGCTTTGCCCTGGGTAGTTCTTAAGGTGCTTGTCCCACTTTCTGTGGGAGAGTGAGATCGCACTGTTTGGAAACTGTCTTTCCTCCTAGCAGCATCCCCTGGTGCACTCAGTGAGAATGCACCAGCTTTTCCACTCTGGAGAACCCCTACATCAAATGTAAAGACACCAGTGATATATGGAAGGCCTTCGATACGGTATCCCACCCCATACTAGTGAACAAGTTAAGAGGCTGTGACTTGGATGACTACACAGTCCGGTGGGTGGCGAATTGGCTGGAGGGTCACACCCAGAGAGTCGTGGTGGATGGGTCGGTTTCGACCTGGAAGGGTGTGGGCAGTGGGGTCCCGCAGGGCTCAGTCCTTGGACCGATACTCTTTAATGTCTTCATCAGTGACTTGGACGAGGGAGTGAAGTGTACTCTGTCCAAGTTTGCAGATGACACAAAGCTATGGGGAGAAGTGGACACCCCGGAGGGCAGGGAACAGCTGCAAGCAGACCTGGACAGGTTGGACAAGTGGGCAGAAAACAACAGAATGCAGTTCAACAAGGAGAAATGCAAAGTGCTGCACCTAGGGAGGAAAAATGTCCAGCACACCTACAGCCTAGGGAATGACCTGCTGGGTGGCACGGAAGTGGAAAGGGATCTTGGAGTCCTAGTGGACTCCAAGATGAACATGAGTCGGCAGTGTGACGAAGCCATCAGAAAAGCTAATGGCACTTTATCGTGCATCAGCAGATGCATGACGAATAGATCCAAGGAGGTGATACTTCCCCTCTATCGGGCGCTGGTCAGACCGCAGTTGAAGTACTGCGTGCAATTCTGGGCACCGCACTTCAAGAGGGATGCGGATAACCTGGAGAGGGTCCAGAGAAGGGCCACTCGTATGGTTAAGGGCTTGCAGACCAAGCCCTACGAGAAGAGACTAGAGAAACTGGACCTTTTCAGCCTCCGCAAGAGAAGGTTGAGAGGCAACCTTGTGGCTGCCTATAAGTTCATCACGGGGGCACAGAAGGGAATTGGTGAGGTTTTAATCACCAAGGTGCCCCCGGGGGTTACAAGAAATAATGGCCACAAGCTAGCAGAGAGCAGATTTAGATTGGACATTAGGAAGAACTTCTCCCTGCCTATGCAGGGGGTTGGACTCGATGATCTATTGAGGTCCCTTCCGACCCTAACATCTATGAATCTATGGCTGGTGGTTTCAACAGAGTCCCCACTGAGCTGGGGGTGTAGGAGAGAAGACCCCAGAGTCATTAACAGAGATGCACAGGGAAGCTTCCCATGAAACCTGTGTGCGCTATGCTTGGCTCTGTTCAGAGTTGTCACTTCTGCATGACAGTCCTTCCCACAAAATACACAGACAGATGGCACAGGTTAGGAAGTAGACCCCAGGCAGCCCCATTTCCTGCTGTAGTCAAATAAGATTTAATATTTCCACACCAGTGTCCACAGATCCAGCAAAGCCTGTGTGAGCCCATGCAACCACAAGACTGCCTTGGGCCTCTACCTTCTAGTCCCCTCCTTTCA